ATCACTGTCAGACCTTACTCTTCTGTAGGAATTAGTCCCTATAGTCCACAGAGAACTGTATTATTTTTGTGGTACTAGGATATCAGGGAATAGGGTTCAGATTCAAATGACCTAGAAGAGTTACTTCCACAGTTAACATGTATATTCTTGAGATGCCAGTCATGGATGAACCAAATACACTGATGTCAAAAAGCCAAAGGTCCATTCATCCTTTCTCACAGTAGCCTTCCATTGACTTTCACCACTGAAACCATCCAGTGTTGCTTGATAATGGATCAGTATGCTGATAAAGATTACAGTCACTGCGGATGCAGAGTTAGTGGCTGAACTTGAAATGGACTGAGGACCAGCAACTTCCACATCAGTGAGAGTTGCAGGTACTGAACACTTCTCAGGATCAGGCCCATACTTTTTATATATGGTGATGGTATCCATAGGGACTAAGGCAGAATAACTGAAAATCCTTTTTCTATTGTAAATACCGCTTTGACTAGACACCTGTGAAGTAAGATATGTAGCTTATTTTACAGAATCTTAGCTAAACAAATATTTCCTTTTTTCTCCCCCTTTCACTATGGTTATCTAGAAAGAGCAATAGGATTGTGCCACCTAAGCATAAATCAAAACCCAGCTAATGAAAGCATTCTTGTTATATACTGTTTTTCTCCTCCTTTCTGTACAATCACTTCACACATTTGCTTTTCTCAACCAGAGAGAAAATGACTGGATAGAATTCTTATTAGGACTAGCTCTGCGAATACTCAAGCTTCCTTGAGCTGTGAAGTCAGGCCTGTCTGCGTTTGGTCTCAAACAACAGTGGGGCAAAGATCTAACTTATCAATAAATGTCAGATTTACCTAAGCACTCCACAGCCTTTACTAAACAGATTAGTTGTGATAAGGGCTGCTGTGTGATAAGAAGTTTGAAAGATTCAGTTTAAAACTACAAGAGGATGAGAGGAGAAATATAGACATGGAGATAGCAACTGATAAATGCCAACGTAGTCTAAGCGAGAACACCTAAGATTGCAAGGAACTGAGAAACCAAACTGCTAACATAGGAAATAAATCAGATTAAGAAATATCAGTTGGTGACTATACTGTACCTGAATACACTAAGATAGAAGATATTATATGTGCAGAGCTGATTATGAAGATGGTGGGAACAGATCAACTCTGAAAACCCTTCATAATGTATCATAGAATGTCATGTTATTGGAAAGGACAAGTGGGTGAGGTAATGCCTTTTATTGGACCAACTTCTGTTAGTGAAAGAGACAAGTTTTCGAGCTACACAGAATTCTTCTGGTTTGAAAAAGAGTTCTGTGTAGCTCAAAAGCTTGTCTCTTTCACCAACAGAAGTTGCTCCAATAAAAGATATTACCTCACCCACCTTGTATTGCTAATATCCTGGGACCAACACAGCTAAAACACTGCAAACAAAATGTTCTTGGGAAGTCCATTCATCCCACTTGTATATTATGCAATTCTTGCAATAAAGAACTAGGTTCTGAAATGACCATGTGATGTCTACCTTTTAATGTAAAAAACCACCCTCTACGCAGATTGTAATCCTAGTTCTTCTTTTGTACTAGAGTATGTTTCTCATTACAATGAGGCTAAAAAAGGCTTGGCCTGACTATTTTATGCGTTGAATTAAAAATTCTCCACGGAGTCTCTCCTGAACTTAGGCCTCCCCCCCGCTTCACTGATGATATAATGTTTCTGAGTAAGAGGAACTGATTCTAGCAAGTGGATTTCCTCTAGTCTGCTGTTGAATGGTACTGCATTGAGACACTATGGTATTTAGATTGTAAGCTCTTTGGGGCAGGGACTGTGTTTTTGTTCTGTGTTTGCCTACTGTCTAACACAATAGGGCCCTGGTCTATAACTAGAGCCCCTAGACATTACTGCAGTACAAACAATAAATAGCAACAATATTTTATATTGCCCCGAGTTATATGATGTAATGATGATGTGCGTAAACTTGAATAGGTTGAATTGTGAAACACGTACTATTGGCTAGGCCCAAAAATGAATGACAACACTGAAATCAACCAGAAGTTATTACACCTCTACCTCGATATAACGCTGTCCTCGGGAGCCAAAAAATCTTACCGCGTTATAGGTGAAACCGCGTTATATTGAACTTGCTTTGATCCACCAGAGTGTGCAGCCCCGCCCCCTCTGGAGCACTGCTTTACCGCGTTATATCCGAATTCATGTTATATTGGGTGGCGTTACAGTGAGGTAGCGGTGTATTATCATTTGTATTATTGTAGTGTCTAGGAGCCCTAGTTCTCTCCATTGTGCTTGGCAATGTACAAAGCAGGGCCGGCTCTGGCTTTTTTGCCGCCCCAGGCAAAAAAGCCTCCGGCCGCCCCCCGCCCCCCCCCCTGCGGGGGGGGGGGCGGAGCCCCGGGGGGAGGACGGCAAACCCCAGCGAGGGCTCCGCTCTCCCCCCGGCGGCCAGGGGGAGGGCGCCGGGGGGGAGGGCGCCGGAGCCCTGGGAGGAGGGCGGCGAGCCCCAGCGGGGGCTCGGCTCTCCCCCCGGCGGCCAGAGCGCAGGGGGCAGGGCGGCGAGCCCCGACCGGGGGGAGGGCGCCGGGGGGGGAGGGCGGCCAGAGCGCCGGGGGGAGGGCGGCGAGCCCGGCCGTGGCCCCGCTCTCCCCGGGGGCCGGAGCGCCGCCCCCCTCCAGGTGCCGCCCCAAGCACAACCTTGGTGGGCTGGTGCCTGGAGCCGGCCCTGGTACAAAGAGCACAAAAAGCCACCCCCACCACAAGGAGTGTACAATCTAATATCGTATGTAACAACAGACTTAAATGGTTGTCACAAGCAACCTGCAGTAGCCTTGATAAGTAAAACTTGTATGAAATGCATGAGCCACCTTTGTGTATCAGTCAACAAATGAGAAGGAGGAATTCTTCATTATTGTCAAATAGTTCTGAAAATTATCTTGACCCTGATACTTAATAATAATAATAATAATCAATAAACATTTGTTCATAAATACATAGATGTGCTTTGCAGACACACTGTAATATGGGAAAAATGGCCAGATCTTCAACCTCCAATTAAATGGGGGAATCCTGGAAAGGCACAAAGCTGGCATAGTGGGCTATGCCAGCCTCTAGTGGTACCCGATTCCCCAACATAGGGGTTGTGTCAATGCTGGCTGGGGCCGAAGGGAGCAGAAAAAGGTGGAGCTGAATTACCATGTGGTCCACCAACCCCTGCTGGGGAATGATCCTTAGGGAGCAGCATTTAAATTAGCCCTCTGGGTGCTCCGACTTGACCCGTGGTGGATTCCACCACTCAAACATCTTTGGCTCCCGAATTTAGGGAGGCATAAACATGTCTTAGAGTCACTTTTGCTTCCCCTTACACTCATCCTTGTGCCGCTGAGGATTAGTGTGATACTTTTTGCACTGCATTATGTATTGTTAGTAAATAGTCGAAATGCCCCCAAAATGTACCAAAGCAAAGTTATCTTAAATTCTTTTACCAGATTTAATGTATTAAGCAAGTGGGCTCCCTAAAGCAACTATTAATTTTCAGAAGAGACAACTTATTGATGCTTAAGATATATAAGTCATACATGTTGAATATAGTGCAGTATCTAGACAAAATGAGAAGTATTCTACCAATGTAAGGGATTTGTCCCAGCAGCAGCATGCTGAGAAACAGAAGCTATAGTAAGTCACATATTTGAGTGTTAAAAATATGAATGACAAAAGAGTACAGCTAATTAAACATATTCTTCAAATAGTAACATTAAAACATATTTGGATGGAATGGCAATGCTCAACACTCAGAATTACTGTAGCTTCACTATCTCTTTGCAAAACATATATACTGGACTGAAAATATCGATGAGTATGTCTTAGAATTTTCACTAAGTACTACATTTCCAGTGTGTTCTGTAAGGAAAAAAGATGCAAAGATCATCTCCCCCATATAACTGGAATTAACATTGTTTTATGTGTAATGGTCAATTAATGAAAATCGTCATGCCTAAAATGTGTATATGTAAAATCGCCATCGCTTCCTGATGGTTTTAATTTGACATTGGAGATAAAACAACAAAAATTTCAACTTCAGTATTACATTTTTTTTATATACAGATAATAAGAAATGGAGTTCTGCAACTGCTCTGCCACACTGATTTAGGGGGACGTGTTGGCACATCTTTATTTTTTTAAATTCCTTCAAGTGGGCAAGATGTGTTATTCCACTTAATCTGTTACATCTGTGTAAATACCAGTGTCATTTTTATCTAAGATAAACTTCTGCACAACATATTGAGGTTTACTAGTAATAGCTGAAATTTCTGTATTTACCCCCTAAAATTCTGACATGACTTAAAAACAATTCTGCAGTCACAGTACATTTGTTTAAACCAGTGATACTCAGACCTCATGGTTCAGGAGCCAAATTAGCGATCCACATTACCCAAAAGAACCACAGCAGTGTGAATTCATTGTTTCATTTACTATAGTACTATTCATATTTAAACAGCATGATTGGATATATTTAGTTTATATGGGTATATTTTTTCTTACAGCAAATAGGTTAATAACTTGGTGCAAGTTGATAACTTAAATGGCAAATAACATAGTAAAAACATCCTGATCAGTTAATAACTTAGATGGGTTAATAATTAAATCACACACGATTTTAATATCATGTGCTGCAAAGAGCCACAGGAGACACATCAAAAAGCCACTTGCGGCTCACAAGTTGCAGAGGAGTATCACTGGTTTAAAGCATGTAGGCAGCTGCAACACATACAAGTGCACAACTGGAAACACTTAGCAAACGGCAGAAGCCATGCAAACCATTGAGGATGAGGAATAAATAGGGGGTGGGAGTGGAGAGGAAAAGGGAAAGATGTAGTAAAGGAAAAATAAATGATGCATCCATGGAAGTGATGGTAGGCATTGGTAAAAGAGTAAGTGAACACCTCAAGATGGAGAGAGAAAAAAAGGACAGATACCTACCCCAACCTGCGCTATCTAGCTACCGACCTGTGGACTTATAGTATCACCAGTAGGCTCACCAAATGGATCACTGTTGGAAGAGGCCTGAGATCCATCAGGCTAGAATACAAGAACATAACACCTTTTTTCTCAACAACAGGAAGTGAAAAGGCAGTAAGAGGTTATTTTCATGCTAGGGACACATTCTATCACGTGCAGCTACTGTAGGTTTTAAAACACAAAGGGTAAGATCCTACAATTAATATGCTTTCAAAATTTGCATGGACTTCAAATGGGTGTTGCATACATAAGGGCACGGATTTAATGCCTGTTGAAGTTGTAAAAGAGCTGCCCCTGACTTCAATAGGCATTGGTCAGACCCAAAATGACGGCAGGCCCAGTCCCTGAAAGCAGATCTTGGACTAAATTCATAAGCAAATCTATGTGAATCAGAGAGCGTTTAATCTTGTGTAATTTATGCTCTCTTCTATCCCCTCTGCATGTACGTTACAACAACTTGGGCTCCTTTTAGCCTTTCTTTGACTTCAACTCAAACCCAGTTACCAGGGCATTTTATGACATACAATCCCCATTTAGCCAACCTCTGACTTTGGCCCACTCAGTCTCACTAAGTGTAATGGGACCTTAATGGAGAAAAATCATACGCTAAAGGCCCACAAGTGAGGTATATAACAAGAACAACAACTAGCAGGAAAATGTAAGAATGTGTAAGCCAGTGTGGGCCATACTGTTTTAACATATATACTCTTACACCTTCTTCTGCTTCCTCGGCATGTATGTTACATCAACCTGGAATCCCTTACACATCCGTAAATGGTGTAAGTAGGTTGATGGATGTTTGAGGGTACATAACTTACACCGCTTTACATATCAACTCTGAATTTAGCTCCTTAATATTAATACATACTATTGTCAATATCATGCTAATGTTCGATAGCTATCAAACCCATACTTGGAAATGAAAGTTCTCTGCAACTTCCCTTAAAAAAATCCACCAATCCTATTGAAATATTTATTTGACATTTCCAGATGACTTTCAGTTACTCCCTGGTATTTTCTAGCTAGAAAAGTCTAGTTAGTATTAGGAGTCATGCTACTCACAGCCTCCTGCTCTTCACTTTTGCTTGGGCTTTCAAACCCCTCTTCAAAGAGGTCATCTGCAGTAGGGTCACTGGTATGAGAGACTGATGATTTTGATGGAGAACTCTGTCTGGGAGCAGGGGTTGGAGCTAAACAAAGATGATGGCAATAATAATAGGAAATACATTCATTGATTTGTTTAGATAGACAAACTATTCAAAATCTATTCATGCTTAACCCCCCCAATTTTATTATTCCTAAATTGCTTGTTTTCTGATTTAAGCAAACAAAATCATAGTCTATAGTCTGAAAATTATAACAAAAATGTCACCAACTCCTTATTTTTATTCCATGCTTCAAATTCACCAACCCCAACATAAGAACACTCCACAAATCAGTGTATGAATTCTGTGATTTGAAATAAATTTAATGTAAAGCCTATTTCCTCTTTCAGCCTTTTCAGAAACTAGGATGTTTGTTTTTAGCTGAGATGGATGTTGGGGGAGTTTTTGACCAATAAGAAATTTCAAATGACAAGAAAAAGATCTTCATGGTGCATCTTTACATAGACTCTGAAAACATAGGGCTTATCTATATGGAGACATAGTGCATGGAAAGCCAGGGTGTAAATCTACTGGACTCTGTTCTGAAATAGCAGTAGGTCAAAGCACACTACAGAACTTATAGTGCATGGCAGCAGGGTCCACCCAGAAACAAAGAGAATCATAGAAGATTAGGGTTGGAAGAGATCTCAGGAGGTCATCTAGTCCAACCCCCTGCTCAAAGCAGGACCAACGCCAACTAAATCATCCCAACCAGGATTTTATCAAGCCGGGCCATAAAAACCTCTAAGGAAGGAGATTCCACCACTTCCCTAGGTAACCCATTCCAGTGCTTCACCACCCACCTAGTGAAATAGTTTTTCCTAATATCCAACCTAGACCTCCCCCACTGCAACTTGAGACCATTGCTCCTTGTTCTGTCATCTGCCACCACTGAGAACAGTTTATTTTCCATCCTCTTTGGAACCCCCTTCAGGTAGTTGAAGGCGCTATAAAATCCCCCCTCACTCTTCTCTTCTGCATACTAAACAAGCCCAGTTCCCTCAGCCTCTCCTCGTAAGTCAAGTACCCCAGCCCCCTGATCATTTTCGTTGCCCTCCGCTGGACTCTCTCCAAGTTGTTCACATCCCTTCTGTAGTGGGGGGCCCAAAGCTGGATGCAATACTCCAGATGTGGACTCACAAGTGCCGAATAGAGGGGAATAATCACTTCCCTTGATCTGCTGGCAACGCTCCTACTAATGGAGCCCAATACGCCGTTAGCCTTCACGGCAACAAGGGCACACTGCTGACTCATATCCAGCTTCTTGTTCACTGTAACCCCCAGGTCCTTTTCTGCCGAACTGCCCCTTAGCCAGTAGGTCCCCATCCTGTAGCAGTGCATGGGATTCTTCTGTCCTAAGTGCAGGATTCTGCACTTGTCCTTGTTGAACCTCATCAGATTTATTTTAGCCCAATCCTCCAATTTGTCTAGGTCACTCTGGGCCCTATCCTTACCTCCCCTCCCAGCTTAGTGTTATCTGCAAACTTGCTGAGGGTGCAATCCAGCCCATCATCCAGATCATTAATGAAGATGTTGAACAAAACCGGCCCCAGGACAGACTCCTCGGGAACTCCACTTGATACCAGCTGCCAACTAGACATCGAGCCGTTGATCACTACCCGTTGAGCCCGACGATCTAGCCAGCTTTTTATTCACCTTATAGTCCATTCGTCCAATCCATACTTTTTTAACTTGCTGGCAAGAATACTGTGGGGAATGTATCAAAAGCTTTGCTAAAGTCAAGCTATATCACATCCACCGCTTTCCCCATATCCACAGAGCCAGTTCTCTCAACATAAAAGGCAATCACGACCAAGGCATGACTTGCCCTGCGTGAATCCATGTTGACTGTTCCTGATTACCTTCCTCTCTTCCAAGTGCTTCAAAATGGATTCCTTGAGGACCCGCTCCGTGATTTTTCCAGGGACTGAGGTGAGGCTGACCGGTCTGTAGTTCCCCAGATTCTCCTCCTTCCCTTTTTTAAAGATGGGCACCATATTTGCCTTTTTCCAATCGTCCGGTACCTCCCCCGATCACCACAAGTTTTCAAAGATAATGGCCAATGGGTCTGCAATCACATCAGCCAACTCCCTCAGCACCCTCAGATGCATTAGATCCGGACCCATGGACTTGTGCATGTCCAGCTTTTCTAAATAGTCCTTAACCTGTTCTTTCACCACTGAGGGCTGCTCACCTCCTCCTCATACTGTGCTGCCCGGTGCAACAATCTGGGAGCTGACCTTGTCTGTGAAGACCAAGGCAAAAAAAGCATTGAGTACTTCAGCTTTTTCCACATCATCTGTCACTAGGTTGCCTCTCCATTCAGTAAGGGTCCCACACTTTCCCTGACCTCCTTCTTGTTGCTAACATACCTGTAGAACCCTTTCTTGTTACCCTTCACATCCCTTGCTAGCTGCAACTCCAATTGTGCTTTGGCCTTCCTGATTACACCCCTGCATGATTGAGCACTATTTTTATACTCCTCCCAGTCATTTGTCCAAGTTTCCACTTCTTGTAAGCTTCCTTTTTGTGTTTAAGCTCACTGAAGATTTTGCTGTTAAGCCAAGCTGGTCGCCTGCCATATTTGCTGTTCTTTCTGCACATTGGGATGGCTTGCTGGGCTGTTCTCAGTGGTGGCAGATGACAGACCAAGGAGCAATGGTCTCAAGTTGCAGTGGGGGAGGTCTAGGTTGGATATTAGAAAAAAACTATTTCACTAGGAGGGTGGTGAAGCACTGGAATGGGTTACCTAGGGAAGTGGTGGAATCTCCATCCTTAAGAGGTTTTTAAGGCCCGGCTTGACAAAGCCCTGGTTGGGATGATTTAGTTGGGGTTGGTTCTGCTTTGGGCAGGGGGTTGGACTAGATGACCTCCTGAAGTCTCTTCCAACCCTAATCTTCTATAAGTAATGTTATTAGGTTCAATCTAGCTTCTATGAAACTCAATAGACTTCTGTTGGCTTCCATGGGAGTTGGATCTATACCAGTGTTAGCACTCGTATAATGGAATCTGTTTATAAACAATTTTTTGCAACCCCACAGTATAAGCACATTTATGCACCTAGAGCGAAATTCACTCCAGTACAGAGGGCCAGAAGAAGACCTATTCACCACTTAAGTCCCACTGAAGTCTCCAAAAATATGGCTGGAGTGGGACTTAAAATGGCTCCCTGTAGGTATGAATTTCACCTCTACTGCGTGAATATTTTCTCATCAATAGTTTAAATATTTTCCAAACCAGTTTAAATGTGCTTAGTTTAGGCACATTTTGAAGAGCAGACCTATTACTGTTTTATTAAAACTTAAATTTTATCTTGCAACCTTTGAAGTTGTTGATTTCAATCGCCTCTGTAATTTGTAACCTAAATCATGTTTCCCTAGCTCCAGGATGCCACTAACAAGCTTGATCATGCATGAAGATACTAAGGTCATCGGTGTTCCAACATAGTACACCAGAGAAAAGGGAAAAGCTTTGAGGAGACGGTGACATTTGAGGAAGAGACTGCAATTGGAATGATTTGGGTACTTACGTGAATTTGTAGATGGCGTTGTAGAAGTCACAGGAGTCAAATTTAATTGAGAGATGTCAAAGTCATCACAATCATCTGCATCCTGTGCCATCCCGACTTTGTTAAAATAGCTGGAGAAGGCCTCTGAGGTACAACTGAGGGAAGGCTGGTCTGGTTTTCGTGATGGCACTGGCGGAGGCTGAGCCATCTGGAAATCTTTGAACATATCTTTTCCCATTTTCTGTCTGGGCCTGTCTGTCTGTGGACTTGATCTGGTGGAATCGCTTGTGGGTGGAACAGTAGCTATGGGAGCAATGGTACCTTGAAACATGGCTGCTTGTAAAGGCATAACAGTTTGTGTTGGCATGAAGGCAGTTGGTTGGAACTGACCAGCTACAGATGGCCATGGTTGCTGGGTAGGAGAAAAAATACCAGGTTGGCCCCATGCTATTGGCTGTCCTCCCTGCATCACCTGAGCAACTGGAGGCTGAGTACTCATGGCCAATTGTTGTTGAACGAGTGGTTGCTGTCCCCAGAAGGAGGGCAGGACAGCTCCCATTGCAACATAACCTTAAAGAATAACAACAGGGTTGTTTTAGCGCATGGATGTGAACAGCAAGAGGATGTGGTACAGGAAACACTGTTAGTCAGAAATACACAGACTGTGTTAGGAGTCACAGGGACCTTTACCAATTTATATCACTTCCTTAAATGTGTCAATCCTATGCTCTTGGCATGTGTACAAACAGTTCAATAAATAAAGCATAACTGGACTGACTTTAATAATAATCACCATCCCCACTCATTAGAACAAAAAAATTATTCCCCTCCTCCTCAAATCACATGAATCTTACCCCTTCCCATAATCTAGAGAGAAAAGGTACCATGTTGGAGTGCAGTTTACCTTGAAAATCAGCTAACCTGGGTTTTGGTAGACCAAAGAGCAAAGTGAGTTCTGGAGCAGAGGACTCCTCACAAAAAATGGTACGTTGTGTAACTCTACACCACTTCTACACCAACTCCACAGAGAACAGGAGTCTGTTACAGCCCCACTAAAGAACTCGAGCTTGTTAGCACATGCTATAGCAGCTCATGCTTTTTGCTCTGGAGGTCCCTGGTTTAATCCCCAATATGTCGGCCCAGATGGGAGCCATCAAATTTACCGTTCCAGTTCAAGCCAGGCGACGGTTAGCTCAGGGACCTGCTTGGATTGCAACTGCTCCTGTATCTCATGATAATAGAGGTTTTCTCTGATGGGGGCAGGACTCAAACCGTTAAGGGATTTGTAGAGGAAAACCAACATTTTAAATCGCACCCAGAAATGGACACAGTGCAGATTATGAAGCACATGGGCTCCTTCTGAGAAGCAACCCTAAGCAAAGGAATGGCTAAATTTCAAATAGTTCATGTTTCTTAGTGGTCTTCAGGCTTGGCCCTTTGCAATAATCCTATCTTGAAGGTTACAAAAGTATAGATAACTGAGGCAAGGTCTATAAAAGATAAAGGCATAATCTTGCCAAATGCAGATGAAAAAGCACGCTTGGTTACTTCAACACCCAGAAGCCACTAAGCATGCATACTATGAATTATAAAAACATACTTGAAAAATTAGAGGTATATAGTACTGTATAATAGATGCCAAAAATCTGCACTGGGTAATAGCTTATAATGAAAACCCTCTAGCTAGGGGAAAGCATTGAAGATTAAAAACTGGAGTCATTAAAACATTCTAATTTTGATTTGACCCTGCTCAGACAAAACTTCCTTGTCAAACTAATGGGAATCTTGGCTGAGAATGGACTGTATGACTAGACCTTTTGTTTGTCATTTACATTGAAAAGAAAAAAAAAAGATGAATCCAACAGTTTTCAACTGTGTTTAATATAAAAGGATTTCTGAAACTCTACCCTGAAAACCTTTATTAAAGAAGAAACTAGGTGACACGCTTATGTTTTACTAATACAAAATGATGTTATATTAATACGAGACCCAAATGCTACATTAACAATTTTAATTTATTGTTAATATTTTACAATGTGGAATCTCTTTCCTCTTCTTTGTACCGGTATAGCAGTAGAAAAGAAACCTTTTCCTTGACCTATAAGTTTTCCTTACCCTGCTTTTACCTTTTATTTTTGGTTTATTTCTGGGTTTATTGAAATGCAAACTGTAAAGGAGTAAGACAGCAAAACAAAAATCATAAGCAATAGATCTTGGAATCATTTAGCTAAGGATAACAATAACACAGCTAAATATGTATTTCAGCAAATGGTTATGATGGGGAATGTGAAGTAGGACCCTCCACAACTTTGTCAGAGCAATTTCCCATGCCATAACCCCAAAACACTGCATTGTAGTTATGACCTTACTGACTAAGGGACACTGGAGGGTACTTCTTTGGAAGAAGTACATCAGAGTTTTCCATAACCAGTTGACAAACAGGATCAAAGTGCTTATCTGGTTCTATTCCATGTATCAGGTATGTTACTTTCAAGTGCCAACATAATAATGGAACTTCGGTACAGCAAAAGATTACCGCTGTGTTACATTCCAGGACAGATGATGCAGTACATTATAGCACTGAAGGTGTTAACCATCTAGAAAACTACTGTTGAATGATTCAAGGCACTCCTTTTTCTCCTTCCCAAATGGGACTGAATGAGCTGTTTTTGCAATGCTCCCAGCCCCTGGCAGTCCAGAGAGCAAGACCAGAAGTCAAACCCACATCTCCTGCATGTTAGTGCAGAATATTACATAAACTCTGAATTTTGAGCACTTTGAGGAACATAGAAAAGCCTAGCTGAAATGTCACACTTTGGCTACATGGAATAGCTTTAAAAATGGTCACAAATTCTTCACGTTTCTTGCTGTGCCATCATTTACTGTATATAGTTCAGAATGTCCACTGTTATTACTGGAAATTCAAAGCTAAATAACTTTCCCTCTCCTATTACAATAGCTTATAGGTATGTAAACTATATACTTGAACTTCCAGAGACTTTTTAGTCCCAGTTCTTTTTTTACTTCATTGGGTATTAGCAAACTCAATATACTGAAGGTTCAACTTGGTACTGATTTGGATTTTCTTTTTCCTGAAGTACATTAATTGTAAGACATTACTGTAAGTAAGTACATTGCCGTAAGACAGACTATATTTTCACATTTCTATAGTGGAAAACTTTTTAACCCTTATGTTTTGGATGTTGAGACATAAAACAGAACAGATACCTGAGTTCCACAGTTCAGTTGAGCTAATATTTTCAAAATGACCAACCCTAAAATTAGTCTTTAAATAACCCTATTGGGTTCTTACCTGAGGGTACAGCAGCAGTGCTAAAAGGTACAGAACCAAATGTGTCTGTAATAGCAGGAAGTGACTGGCATGAAGATGGGATAAAGGCATCACCTGGAGTTGCAGGAGTCTACAAAAATGAGACAGGAATAAAATACAATGGTGACATATCAGCTACTGTTTCTGCCATCGGGAATTGGTATGCACTGAGGTGCCACATCCCCTTTATCTCCAAAAAAAGAGAGATGCAGATGTAAAGAAGCAGCAGGAAAAAGATCAGCAGCACCATAAGACAGAAGACAACAGGAAAAGAGAGAAAAAATACAGAGCTCTTGGACCATGAAGAAAAAGAACAATATAACTTGCACAATCATATATCACGTGCAAATTTCTGACAGCACCTGTTTCTTAAGCAATAAGTCTGTGATTCTGAGGCTTAATTAACTGAGGATTGATGTAAACAATAGACAGAAAATAACATAGAAAGGATTTTAAAACAGGGTGAAATTACTGTATTACAGAAGAATGATTAAATATTGCTCCAGTTCATCAATAGGCCTAGAGCCAAAGTCCTGCATGTTAGAAGAAGCCTGGTCCCATTGTTAAAGATAAGGATTGGGAGATGGGAGATCTGAACTCTTTTCCTAGATGTGCCACAAAATTCCTTTGTTACCTTAACTGCTCAGTGCCTCGGTTTCCCCATCTGGAAAAGGAGAATATTTATATTCCCCTATGTCACAATCTGTTTTGAGGCTTAAAAATGAACTGGAAAAATTCTCTATTTCTACTTTATAATGAAGACAGCTTGTTTCAAAGGCTTCCATCTCCTTAAAATAACATACACATTTTTGTTTTTTACTTGTTTTTAGATCCTTCTTCCCTCTCTTAGCTGAAGGACTTGGATATGACCTTTGGAGGTTCCGAAGAGCCATGTCATTCAAAGCTGTAACCACATCTGATGCTCTCCTTCCCGAACAACTGAGTTTTTGACAGAGTCCCACACAGCAGATGCCTCTGCTAAACGGAAGTGATGGGAGCTGCAGCTCAGGTTACAGCCCTTTATGACATCACCATTCAGATCTCTATTTAAAAAAAAAAAAAGTTTGAGGCCATCTTTGCACATCACAAAGAGCAGCGTGATGGGGTGTCCATGCCACACAAGGCCCGAAGGGGTTATGGTGGCTGAGTAGGTCAATTAACTGCATTGGCTGTATCTGGAGGAGGAGCCAGGGAACAATGAGGATTAATTAAAAAGGAAGCTCAGCTGCACAGGAACAGGAGGGGCCTGTAAAAAGCCCAGTAGCGGAGAGCAGAAGGGGGCTGCAGAAAGAGAGAGAGAGGCTGCAGTCACTGTTAGGGTGACAGATGGCAAGGTAGGAAATAGCCCAGAGACACGGAGTAAGGGACAGGACTTGATTACTTGTTGTAGAGTCCCTGGGCTGGAACCCTGTGTAGAGGGCAGGCCTGAGTTCCCCTACCAGCCACGGGGGAAGTGGCACCATTAGAGGCAGTGAAAGAGAAGACTGCGAGGGACAGCAGGTCCTGAGAGACGTTGATGCATGTGATTTCCCCGGCAGGGGAAAACCACAGTGACCTGACTGGAGGACCAAGCCATGAAGTGGGAGCAGTTGAGTCCTGAGAGAGCAAGACAGAGTGATGGAGTGCAACCGCAGGAAGAGGCGTCAGCCTGGCAGAGTTAATCCCCAGATGTGGTCAGAAGGAGATGCGCCAGCGGTGACTAGAGCACCCCGTGACAAGCAGTGATTGGAGAAAAGGAGTTTTCCCTTTTTGAATATGTTTGCTTCCTAGTTCTCTTTTATTTCACCACTGTTTGAAAAAACACTTTGAAATCCTTCATATTGGAGTGCATGCTATTCACCATCCTGCATTTCTACACATGGCTACAGTAAACCTGCTTTTTACCAGCAAGGTAGAAAAAGACAGGGCAATTTCCCCTGGGTACTTACTGGGGGAGAGGTTACATCAGGAGGAGTGGACATGTCCCCAAAAAGCTCTAGTTGGGTAACAGCCTGCAAAGAGAAGAATTGAGAGAATCAAGGAAGAGTGTGCATTAGACTGGAAACAAGTAATGAACTCATATCACCTATCCAAATTAAAGCTATTTATACCTTGATTGTCCCCTCCGCTGGGATGGACTAGGCCATGGGGCTGGCTCACAAACCCAGAGGAGGCTCAGACATCTGCCCCTGGGAAACTCTTTTATGGGGGATCCACCACAGAAGGGGATAGGGCACAGAGAAAGCATCCACAATGGGGCATATTATCTTTCCACTCTTAGCTTCACTGGGCACAGGGGATATGTGTATGTCCCATTGCCACCCAACCCTTCCACCATGGCCCCATCTCTGATCTCTCATGCCCCCGACTACAACCTTTGTGGGGTCCAGGGAAAGTGGATCGGATGTTGCTATGGAATTGGCTGAGACCACCGTTCCCCATGGGATGAGTGTGGCCTGCATGCACCCTAGGGGATGAGGGGAGACATGATTAGGCCATTACGATTGGCTAGCTCTAAATTAATTTCATGCTAGAAATGTTTTACCAGGGACTCCATTTTGGTTTTGGTTTTGAAATAGATCAACCAAAGAGGTCTCTCTTACTTGGACCAAAAGGGGGAAAACCCTTTCATAACATAGAGCAGTCTCAGTGGCTGCATGAGCAAAGTATTGGCCGAAGCTCAGACTCAGCACTCACAGAGATGAATTTAGACTGGACAGAGCCACTAGTGACATGGAAACCGAAGCAATTCTGAAGAAGCCTTGCTTTGACTGTGTCTTCTATGGTACAGAAGCCAAAATAGTGTGAAACAGGTTCATAGTGATCAAGTATTTACATCTGCCATATAATATTAATGATTACTCCTGCACTAAACGCCTAAGAAAGTATAATTTAAGTATTTTGCTCAAAAAGAGCTGCTTAAAGGTATTTAGGCACTGATCATAAGTGGGATCAGTTGTTGGAGTACTATCCTCCCAAAATTCTTTGTATATTTAATTTTTAAAGGGACTTATCAAATTTCCTGTTGTGTTGCACAAAGTCAGATTATTACGGTATCTGTGCAGTATGAATTATTGTCCCATTATGAAACAGTCTGGGAAAACAAGATGACATGGTAAATCGATGAGTATTCAGAGTAGTGAAATTCAAACACAATTAATAGAGCTGGTTGAAATTGTTTAGGTGGGATACTTTTTTCTTTTTGTGAAATAAATTTGCTGGAAATGAAAATTTTTGTTTCCTTCTTTGTGATAAAAACATGAACCTTCCCAAACAAAAAATATGTGGTATTTGATTTTTTTTCCATTGTAAAATTGGAAAATTCCTGTGAAAATTACACCTCTACCCCGATATAACGCGACCCGATATAACACGAATTTGAATATAACGTGGTAAAGCAGTGCTCCGGGGGGGGCAGGGCTGCGCACTCCGGTGGATCAAAGCAAGTTTGATATAACGCGGTTTCACCTATAACACGGTAAGATTTTTTGGCTCCCGAGGACAGCGCTATATCGGGGTAGAGGTGTACCAAAAAAAGGCAGGGGGAATTTTTGTTTCTTTAATTTTTTTCCATGGAAAATACTCACCATTTTCTGACTAGCTTTAACAATTAATTACTGGTCAAGATTCTGGAGTCAAACTGCCTTCCCCCATCAACCTTATCATTTAGACCAGGGATAGCCCCCCTTTCACCCAACCTCTGAAAAATATCAGGGTAAAATCTTTACAGTTTCATTTTAAATTAATCTCTAGACCAGTGGTTCCCAAACTTGTTCCGCTGCTTGTGCAGGGAAAGCCCCTGGCGGGCCGGGCCAGTTCGTTTACCTGCCCCATCCGCAGGTTCGGCCGATCGCGGCTCCCAGTGGCCGCAGTTCGCTGCTCCAGGCCAATGGGAGCTGCTGGATGTACTGGTGGGCCGAGGGACGTACTGGCCGCCACTTCCAGCAGCTCCCATTGGCCTGGAGCAGCGAACCACGGCCAGTGGGAGCCGCGATCGGCCGAACCTGCGGACGGGGCAGGTAAACAAACCGGCCTGGCCGGCAAGGGACTTTCCCTGCACAAGCGGTGGAACAAGTTTGGGAACCACTGCTCTAGACGCGATATATCGATCCCCGAATCGACGCCCGTACTCCACCTCGGCAGGAGGAGTAAGCGAAGTCGACGGGGGAGCTGCGGCGGTCGACTCGCCGCCATGAGGATAGCCAGGTAAGTCGAACTAAGATACTTCGACTTCAGCTACGCGAATCTTAGTTCGAACCCCCCCGCTAGTGTAGCCCAGGCCTTTGGTACTAATAGAAGAACTATAGAACTAGTCTCTCCAAGAGATGAAGCAGATCACTCTGGTACTGTGCACAAAATTGCTAACCATTTAATCTTAGCAATGTCTAGAAAAACCTGAATGATAATGAAACTCCTATTTAATCATTTCAGATGAAACTTCATGCCAACCAGGTGCCACCAATGGTTGCGGGGGTTGTACAATAGCAAAGAGTCACTTCCTTCTAAGAACTCTAAATTGCTTGTTTGAGGTCGTCCCTAAAACTTCTGTCTCTGCATCATTGTAAAGCTTCTGGCTAGAACCTCCCCAAGTCTCTTCTTGTCTGACTTCCTGCTAGCATTCTAAAGAAACTGTACATGTGCCTTCACAGATGAAACCATGTGGGTTTTCCCTGCCCACAGGGAAGGATCCTCCAAGTCTTCCTCTCCCACCATAAGGGAGAGAAAGTGAGAAGCAGAGCTGCCAGTGACTGCAAGGGGTACCAGGTAGTGAGACCGTGTCCTGCACTACCCAGGTTGTCAGCCTGGGGGGAAGAGTCTGAGTAGTGGGCGAGGGACAGAAGTTTTGATGGAACCCTTATCCCACGATTCATATTAATCTAGCCTGATGTAGAATAATCTACATTAATGAATCTATATTAGAATGAATCCCACAATTCATATTAATCTGGCCTAATGCAGAATAAGTACAACTGAGAATTTATCACAATGAATCTTTTTGACCTCAAGGTTTCAGCATTTAGTTCAACAGTGGCAAGTCACATAACCTCTCTGTGACTGTCACTCTGTAGAATGGGGATAATGATACTTTTCAAAGTGCTTTAAGGTGTGTGCACCTGTGGAAATTCATCTCAGGTAAAGCTCCAATGAGCTCACGAGAGCCTCTCTGATATCACAGTGATGGGGACTATATAAACTGATTGCTGGATAGAGCAATATTGAGTTGCCATTAATGTTTATTCTAGTAAGCCCTTCTTCATGGCGACCCCAGAAAAAGAGCAATATATTGACAGCAGAGTTAGTTTTGGCATGACCGCAACTTTGTACAACAGATGCTAGAAAGCTATGTCAGCAAATCTAAACTGTAATTTAGTGTGAAAATAACTTTTGAGGATACTTGCTAGAGAGGCTTAAACAGCAACATTTGAATCTGGATTTCAAATCCCTCAAAGTCTGGGATTTTTTGGATGAGGAGTTCTAGTTCTGGACCCTCGCTAGGGCTAAATTCTCGACTGGTCTAAATGAGTACAGCTCCTTTCACATAAATGGAGTTTCAGCCATTGGCAGAAATTTTGGCAGCTCATCTTTACCTTTCATTGGTTTTAAAACAGTTTCACTTTCTGGGTCACCACACAGATGAATTTGCCAACTATATCATTGCTTTTTATATTATTCGTACTTGGCATTAGTTACATTCTGGCGCAGCTAAACCCAAATTGAGCGTTTTCAAATTGCACTAATTCTAGTGGTGATTTCATCCACATTTCCCTTTCACATTTTTGGTGTCATAACCTTACCTGAGTGACTGTAACAAGATTTTCATCAATGTCCAGCAATAAGTTTCCATTCTGCAGCTGTAAAGCATGATTTATGACAATGACATGAATGATTTATGAAAATGACATGAGTTCTGAGCATGACAATGATCACCTCCATAATTATTGACTTCACTATGGAAATGAAAACCCTTTCAGTCTTGTAGCAAGCTGCTGTACTCACCTCAAAGATAACAAATCACATGTTTAACAATGGTGCATTTGAATGCTGCGAACATCAAGTGTAAATATACACTACACTTGCCTGTAGTACACTCTTGTACAAATGCCAGTTCTGTCGTGAATAAGGCTACATCAGTGCAGACATTAGAAATAGTTACTCTTTGAGGGATTAATAAGTTTAGCTATAAAAATTCATTATGGTGCCTACTCCTGTGCCTATTGAAGTTAATGGGAATCTTTATTGGCTTTAATGGGGAAAGGAGTTGGCATTCTCAGCTATATAATTTGATAATATACACGTGGGGTAAGAAAAGGCTCTAAAAGCAAATAATATATGCAGCAAAATACAATGTCTATTTAACTAGGTAAAACTATGGCTTTTGAAAAGTGTATTTATAAATTAATAAATGCACATCTAAGATTACAAATACCCTTTCTATAATCTGCAAGAGAATATTTTTTAAAATGCTGGTATTCATGAATCCAAGATAAATCTAAATCTACAGGGTTGTGTGTAAATGTATATATAATGGAATATACTAAAAATCCCACTGTTAGCTATAACTATAATATCTGATCACCTGACTTAAATGTCATCAGAGGACTAAATTTCAGTGTGATAAACATAACTGTTTTAAAGTGGGAGGGGACAAACCAGAACGATTTTTGCAACATAACGAGAACTACAATAGCAAATGAATGAAAGTTTAATCTGTGATCCGTTTAAGAGTGCAAGGGGCCAGAAGATGCCATTCCGGGAAGCTGGAATAACAAAGGCCCAGGAAATGGGCTGACAGCGGAAGAGAGCAAGCAGTCCTGAGGAATTAGGAGTTGGATGTAGGGGAAACCCCAGAACACTATTCCTTTAAGGGCCTAGGATCAGGAGCCCTATCATGTAGGATTGGACAGGACTCCCTTCTTTTCCAACCAATCGGGAGGAGCTCTTTGGAGGAGGGCAGTATATAGACTGCTTTCTCCTTCAAAATAGTGCAGACACTGGCAAGAGAAGGAGGTCAGAGCCAGAAGGCTAAACTCCAGGGAGAGACAGCCATGAGAAGCAGCCCTGTGAAGACCAGGCTGTGGCTGTGTGTGGATGGCAGAAGAGCCAGAGATAAGTGTGAACCTTTGGGCTGCAGTGATGGACTTTATTGGTGGGACAGTCTGGAAGTGTTTCTGGGCATTAAACCTGCCCCAAGTAGAAGGCAGTAGAACTTTTAAGACACCGTGGGGAGTTTGTATGGGGCCCTGAAGAGGGAGCACACAGGGACAGCTGCTGCAAAGGGAATTCTGGTCATGAGGGACTGCTCAGGAAGTGGCAGCCCTGTTACCTGATGACAAACCCACCAGTCAGTAATTCACTGGAAGTTTAAAAATAGCCTGAGAGGGTGGTTCTCCTGTGTCTCTGATAATAAAATTCTGGCAAAAAGCAATGCCAGATGAAGAAAGCATGACATATTATATATACAGGGCCCAATATTGTAGACTCTGTATGTGAGGAACTCCCACTGAAGTTAAGGGAAGCATGAAATCAGGCTTAGGCTATTAGCCCCAGAACCTCACTATAAATCCAGAAAGCATTCTTGATATAAAAATTGAAAGGCTTAGGCCTTAAATAAGGACCTCAGGCTTTAGCCAACAGATTATTTTTCTTGATTTTGACCATCACTTCACCTAGCCATCTCTACCAATTCTTTACAGGTTATTGAGAGTCAGATTCTGCCCTCAGCCATACTCCTGCAGCTAGCAAAACCATTTGAAAAGTAACTATACCATAGCGTGGAAGAAACACGTGTGCACCATATAACATTAGTAATAACTTGACTGTGCTACAGTGGGACGTCCCAGAAAACAGTTTGCCCATCATGTCACTGCACATCCCCAAGTGCCCAATTATCCTGTGGCATTTGGACTGCGTCCTCCATCAGTTCACGTTCAGCATCACTTACTGTTGAGGAGAGACTTCAAAAAGGTGAAATATTAGGGCTGGTCCACACTAAGCCCCCAGTTCGAACTAAGATACGCAACTTCAGCTACGTGAATAACGTAGCTGAAGTCGAAGTATCTTAGTTCGAACTTAAAGGTACTTACCGCAGGTCCACACGCGGCAGGCAGGCTCCCCCGTCGACTCCGCCTACTCCTCTCACAGAGCAGGATTACCGGCGTCGACGGCGAGCACTTCCGGGATCGATTTATCGCGTCTAGACAAGACGCGATAAATCGATCCCAGAAGATCGATTGCTTGCCGCCGAACCAGCGGGTAAGTATAGACGTACCCTTAGTGTCTATTAGAGCGTGGGATAGTGTTCAATAGCAACTTCTCTGGGGTTGCATTAGTGTAACTGAGGACAGAATTTGACTTATTGAGTCTTTCTTTGGTTAGACATTTCAGTACGAAAGGATTTATCCTTATCAATGAAAGTAAACAATCCTCTCCCACTCTCCCAGTAGACTATATAAAAAAAGAGAAATATGGAAAGATGCTTGGTTCCTTGATCTTTCTGTAGAATTCCTCTGTCTGTGGATTTCTCTGTGTCATGATGTAAAAGCTGCCTTTAATTACTGGAAAAATGCATCTCGTCTTACATGAAAACACTGCCACAGCTTAATCAGCAAGGATCAGAAAAGTCAGTTGTAACCACACTGAGGTGGGCAGTGGAAATAGTATTAATCCTCATATCTTGGTGGTATTAAACCTTATAACGAAAGCTGCATCTTCCCATGTAGATGTCTGACATGTGCTGTAGTCTTTTAAACATTAAATATTTAAATCTGGCTTCTTAAAGCAGGCTTTAAACCACTCCAGCTGGCAATGAAACTTCTTGTGCCATTTTTCACTATTCAGTGGAAACAAGAGCGGAAGGTGTATTATTCTGGAGTTGGAACATATTTGAGAAAAGCCTACAGACTTTGACTATAGAGTTATGCAAGCGGTAGCTTTCATATACCTAAATACAAGAAAGTCACTTCTACACTTTATCTGTTGATCCAATAGGGGTTGGAAAAGTACTTTGTTGTGTTTCTTGAATTATTGCAAAGATAGAGATTTACAGCAGAAGAATTCTGCAGGGACCCCTGTATTCAGAGGTCGGTAAAACACCTTGCAAACCTTGCTATAGAAATAACAGGCCAGATACTCAGCTGTTAATCAGCACAGCTCCACTGAATTCAATGGACATATGCTGATTTACAACTGCTGAGGACCTAACTGAATATTTCTATACTTTGATTATGAAAGAGACAGGAACAGTGATGACTCAGAAATCGTGGTATAGAAACTTCAGAGGATGAAAGGAGAGGAAGTGGTCAAAAAGGATGAAAAGTGCATGGCAGCCTCATCTTATTCTCTAATATAGAGCTCAGTGGGTTAAAATGACAGAATAAAGTACTGTAGTAAGTACGGTAATTAACCAGTAAGGAAAGTAATTAACTTTTTATTTCTTTCTCCTTTCCTCTTAGCGGGCTCTTGAGAATGTCATGAGGACTCCAAAGAGCAGAATATCAGCCAGCTAATTCAAGCTGCATAGGTCTAGCATGTGTTCTTGATAAGAGGACAGATGCTTGACACAGCTACTTGTTTGCAAGGGTGGATGTTGAGTCTGAAGGCGTCTCTCTGTACAAGTTGTGATAAGGAACAGACCCTCTGGTTTGGAGTAAATAATTTAAAGTAGCTCTTACATTGAACTGAGGTTGCTTGACTGTGTTTCAGCAAACTTGGTATATAAAGTTCAGGAGACTGAACTGAGTGATGCAAGAAAGCCAGCAGGGCACTAGAAGAAAAGCAAAATGGAGACCAAAAAGGCAATACATAGAGGACCAATTTTTGTAAGACAGGATAAGATTCTCAGTGCCCCAGTTAAAAAGATGCTCTCCTGAAAATGCCCTGGCAAGGAATTGAACTATTCACATTCAGAAGTTAGCTAGTTACTAAAGTTCATATGGCAAGTCCCTCAGTTTGTATCTTTATGAAGTATTTATATTTTGTTAAATATATTTCAAATCAAATGCATGTTAAATATTTTAAGCTTTCAGAATTTTCAACGTTATATACACAGATGTTTCCTTAAATGGTGATTTACTTTTGAGACTGTTAACATCTGTAAAAGCAAAATAAATTCTTTAAGCACCCCCATTTATATTTCAGAGATGGGCATGAGCCACAATGCATGAGTCAGGCTCCAAACTTTCTCAAAACTTAAAGTGTTTGCACATCTGGGAGTTTATTTATTATTTTTAACCCATTATAAAAAGCTGAGCCATGCCTGAAGTTGGGTCTGAACTTCCCCAAAGTCCAGGAATGTTTGGATCTGGGATTTTGGTCCAGGCCCATCTCTAGTGAATTCATACGACGGTAAAGACTGCCATATCTTGAAGAGCACTCCATGTACCAGTTACAGTGGAGTAATTCCACATAGCATATTGTTGTTACTCCGGATTTACACAAGCGTAACTGAGGGCAGAATCTGACCTACTCTGCCGGTGCAGAATGCAGTTGCTAACCTTAATGGAACAGGTTGCTATAAGCACTTAGGACCAGATCTTCAACTGGCATAGGTTGGCTTACCTCCACTGACTCCAACTGAGCTCCATCTATTTAAACCATATGAGAATCTGGCCAAAAGTAACTGCACTAGCTCTCTGATCACTTTCAGAGAGTGCTGATGTTTATCTTTAGTTGACTTAGTTCGTGAGAGTTTGCTTCTCTCCTTAAACCCTTTCTGCTACAGTCTCTTGTTGTGGTCCCATGGGACAAAACTCTCTTTGATGTCCAAAGGAAGGTTCTCCCACTTGAGGAGTGCTTCCTTTGGACATCTCTCACTGGGGCAGTAAACCCTAGCTTGAGCTTGGCAAGATTCAGA